AAAACAAACGGGTGGCCCAATCATCAACGGCATTAACGTCTTCGATGGAAGGGCGACTCTTCAGGCGTTTTATTAAATAGCCAGTATCGTAACAGAACAAACAGGACAGTGTCTCTTGATCTTGTCTTTGTTGTCAGTGTTTGATCCCCTTAAATAAACTACCCAGCTAAGAACAATGACACCGGCTGCTCTGTCTGCCACTGGTCAATGTGATCAGCTGATACGGATCAGGTCGCTGACTCAACACGTTTTCCAATACTGCCAAACACATCTTTACCTACTGTTTGTGCAGTAATACACAGTACGTTGGTAGTATTCTAAGAGCAGGGCGACCCTACTCATCCTGAACGTGAAGATGTTATTCTTTGTTGTGAAGTCACAACATTTGTATGGACACTTCATCGAGGATCAGCTGTTATCACAGAGCTGTGACTGTTCACCTCACACCACATCACACTGAACGTCCATGACGGAAGAGAGGAGAAAGTACAGTTTAGTCGTGAGAGGGAAAATTCTCCCTGACAGTTTGAAGCCTGTGGAGGCCAATACAGAAAGAATGTTCTGGGTTCTGTGCCAAACTAATTTCTCAGTAGGTCACAGGGGCAAATATGTAAGGCTGCGTTAGCAAGTATTCTACTGGTGGAAGTTGATGGAGATAAATAAATGAGGGTCCTATCTATTTCATTTCATCTAGACTAATCAGAATCTGGTAGCACTCGGTGACCTCATTAACTGGCCCACATTCTTCCCCACAAACACCATCGTTCTCACACATTTCATTCATTGGAACCTGGTCGCCCTATTAACGAAGCGCTGGCTTACTTGAACTGCTGTAATTGATTTGTTTTTTCAGCACGGAGTGAAAACACGACAGGAGTTGAGGTGTTGAGAGACTTGATCCTGGTTTGTTTGACTTTCGTGATGGTTTAAAAGTAAACCGTCAGTGACAGAAGTTAAAACCTGACAATTTGATCTGATTTAATCTGAGTGTCTCTTCAGTCAGATGGTCCAGATCACTGTAGTGTAAAAGTACTGTGGTGTAGGTCCCTGCAGATGCAGGGCCCCCTGGGGACTGCTGGGGTCTCTGATCCACTCATGTCTTCACTCAGTCATGTCCTTTTTTTTTCTGCTCCATTTCTCGTCTCCTCACAATCATTAATGCAGACACTCGCGTCACAGAACCTCGGAACTCTAATGTTTTAATTACAGAGCTCAGCTACAGCTTCTCCACTGACACTGGAGCCACACACTGCTGCACAGTGGACACTGTAATCTACTCTAGACCAAACACGGATTCTTCTGAGTTTAGACTATGTGGTATTCACTACTTAAAGTAAATGTCCTGCTTTCACACTGTATGAACTGAACTGAACTGAAATGAAGTCATTCTCTGCAGTGTAGGTTTGCAATACTAAAGTGGATTCATCTGAATTTAGACAATACAATCTGGATTGAGGAGTGGAGTGGTACACTGGTACCATCAGGGGGTTCTGGGTTCAATGCCTTATATCCTATTGTCTCAGGATAAAATGAAGGGACCAGTAAAAAGTGATTCCAGCAGGTAAAAACTGGTTTTAAAAGAGGTCTACACCATTTGCAGGTTCATATAATATGTAATTGTATAATAACAACCATGTCAATCTGCTGTACAACAGGCTGTACTGTGGTAGTGAATTGGTTTGGTTTATTAACTGTGTTGATGAAAATGACTCAGACGAGAGACTGTGAAAACTGATTGGAAACAGAAACATGATATGAAAATTAATCAAGGCTTTAATTGGAAAGAACCTGGTTTGGACTATGGCCATTGGTAGAAAGTAGAAATATGCTTAAAATGAGTACTTTTTAACTGGTTTCAGAGTATTTGGACCATGGACTGATGGAACCAGTGTAACCTGGTTAGTAAACCTGTTCAAAGAAAGGGGGGGGGGGGTGCTAGGGGGATAAAGGCTAAATGGTTTTAGTCTTGTAAACAGTAACCTGGTATATATGGTTTTTAATGTGAACTGATATGGATTTAAACTATATGAACTGGTTTACTAACTGGATCAAGACTCAAGTGTGAACCATCTTAATGTAAACAGATTAGGTTTAATCTGTCTAACCCATGGATTTTTCTGATGTGAAATATTCATTTAAATTCTTCTATCCAATCCATTATTAAACCCTAAACTGTGTCTGAGGCAGAAACAGGTTTGGATCCAACATCTACTGCCAGCAGTTCTGGTGTCATTTCTGATCCAGTTTCTGCCTCAGCTAGTGACTGTCTGGTTCCCAGGAGGAAGGTTGTCAGTTCTAACCTCCACAAAGAGCAGTCAGCGCTGACATGTGTTTGTACGACTGACAGCTCACAGGTTATTATGAGAAGACAGAAATTTCTGTCAGACAGGGCTCAATATTTCATTTAAAAAGTCAGGGAGTGAAAAAAGAGAAAAAGACAATAACAGTTCCAATCACTGGCACCAGGTTAAGAAATGAGAGCGCTGAATGTCCTTGAATTAAAGAGATGTTGTTTTCAACAGAATTCAGCAGAAAAATATAGCATTTACATAAAAGGTGATTCATGATGTTCACAGGTATGAAATAAAAGTTGGAAGATGTTAGCTAACAGATCACTTAGGTTAGCTCTCTGGAGTCAAAAGCTCAAAACATGCAAACGGTACCAGGAACTAATTAAATATTTACAGCAGATGCTACTACAAGGTACAACAAGCTGACTGTTCCACTTGGACAATCCTTTTATTCTAGGGCAGGCTGTCCAACATGGGGACATGGATGACAGTGAGGCAGGGATTTTGAACAACTTTTTTATAAACACCACAAATTCCCAGCACAAACACAGGTTACTCCCCTTTGGCCAGGTTTCCTGCTTGTGCCAGCGCCAAACACATCACGCAACACTGGGCAAGCCGTCATGCGGCCCATGTCGATGCGCTAATTGTTACACACAAATGTCTCTGCCCGACAAAGGAGTTTTGGAGCCATCAATAAATCCACTGACACTTGGTTCCACAGAGAGCAGAAACACTGGAAACTTGGTGAAAGTGTACTTTAAACACACCTCAAGACGTGTTGATCATATACCTGGGAATGGGAATGTTCTCCTGAATACTGCCTCCAGTTGGAGAAACTCCAGATTCCGTCTGGTCTTTTCTCTGACAGGCTCAGAGATGATGGATGTTACAGCCTGGTTCAATTAACTCACGGACCACAGTACTGTTGAGGTCAGGGTCTTCTTCTGTATCTGTGCCAGGATCTGTCTGAGCTGCAGAGACGGAGCTCTAATGAGAAACCAACAGCCGCGGCGGCAGCAGCAGATCGCCGACTCTGTGGAGCAGCGTCTGCTGAGTGACAGCAGAGACCACCTGGACCATGTAGGCAGATCGTCAGCATCCGGAGGTGGGGGCGATCTGAGTGATCCTTGCCCCCCGTGCTGACATTTATCCCTGACCACAGCTGCCAGCAGCCTTTCACTCTCTCTTTCACTTCATGTTCTTATCGCCGTGCTCTCCTTCTAGTCCTGAGATCAGGTGTGAGGTTGACCTTACAGCCAGGAGAGGAGAAGAAAAAGCTTCAGTGATTCTTCTCTGCTGCTGCTGCTGCTGCTGCTGAGCTGAAAGAAGCTGTTGTTTTCATCCTGACAGGAGGGAGGCAGTGGCTGTTGTCCGTGGTCAGATACAGAGACTGAGGCGACAACGGTTCGACAGCCATTGTTCAAGACTCTCAAATCTGAAAACTAGGTTTTCGACAAAATGTCCATAGAGAAAGACAGGGATTTTATCTGGCAGTGACCCAGGTGCCGCTGGTCTACTGCAGCCTCCCCTGGTGGGTTCACAAAGCAGTGACATTTCAGGGCAAATATTCAAGCCTTTTCCACTGGACTGATCGTGGCCATTGTTAAAGTAACCATTAAACCATCAGCAACATTAACGTATCTACAGTGGTTTGGTCCTTGGTCGTACAACACAGGTGAGGCTGACTTTCCAGAGTTTCATGTCTCACTGCACATTTTGACACTTGCAGTACTGTTTACACAAAGACCTGAACAGATGGTCAGATTTTGGAGGAAATCCCTGCAGCTGCAGAGTGAACACCAGCTGTGTTCTGTTCCTCCTGGTCTCCTCACAAAGGTCAACAACTGGAACCTCCGAGACATTTACGTCATTGTGCTGTGGTGCCTATAAACGTATGTGACAAATATTTGTGCTAACGTGTTTGTCTTCATTCTTTTTTGTTTTCGTTTTTTTAGGCTAATGCATTTTTTGGCAAATTAGTCAATTCAACACTACCTACTACTTTTTATGGAATCTTGAATCACGCGCATGCAGTCTTGCTTAACTTTAATGTATTTTGTCAGTTCATAATTTCTCTTTAGACATGGTACTGTAATTGATGCAGCTGCAGTTGTTTTTTTTATCTCAGAGGCATTGTTTTGTTTAGATTCCAATTATCACTGAGCTCCAACTCCAACAGAACTGACAGGGACGGAAAAAGAAAGGGAAAATAAATCGCTGTGTTTTTTTTTCCATGTTGCATCTGCAGTTCCGTAAACGTCTACAGTTGGGCTTTAAGGATCTGACCAGAGAGAATTCAGGTGATGAAACTGTTCATTTATCTACGGCTTAAATCAGAGAAACGGAGAAAAACAAGAGGAGAAAAGTCTGGAGCAGCAGCGACTGAGGGAGAAGCTCGAAATAGACCAGAGCTGAAACTGGTAACCATGGAAACCGGCCGCGAAAACAGTGGCATGAAAGACATGAAAGAAACAGAGGGAGAGATGGAGGGAGACGAGGAGGTGGAGGAGAATGATGTGAACGTGTCACAGCAGCAACAGAAATCCATGATCCTGCTGGGAATTCAGAGTGTGACTCCAAAAAATAAAATAAAACAAGTATTGATTTCCTTTCATTTCACAAAAGAAACAACAGCACCGGCTTTGAAAGCACCACAGCAAATGTTTCACCGTCACTGGTACCGGTTAGGACGGATTCACAGAACTGACAGGTGATTTTTAAGGTTTGAAAGATGACTTGTAGGGAAGGTTTTCAAATCTGAGAAAATCACTCTGACGTTACAAACACAAAGTGCCAAGAAATGTTAGTGCCAACCAAACGGTTCTTGGTCTTAAGGTCTGCGTTTATGCAGTAGTGATAGTCCAGGGGAGGGGACACGGAACAGTTCTACTACGTTCCCAATGTCCCTGTGGGACCAGAAACAGTACCAGTTACCATGTGTGGATAACATTTAGTTGAACCAAAGCTGACTTTGAACTCATTTTGTTACCATATCATGAACACCTTTAACTTGAACTCACTTTTCATTGAGATAATAATAATCATAATAATATAACATTATTATATTTAATAAAAATAATAAAAACTAACAGATCAGCGTTTAATTTCAGTCGTTACTGTTTATCTAAACTTTTGATTAACATTTGATTATCCGTTGCTAATTTGTAAAAAAAAAAAAAGAAGAAGTTATTTCAGCAGATCTTCATTTATTCTGGACTTTTTTCTTAGTTTTTTGTTTCCTCATTGCCAGCTATCTTTAGGCTCATTAAAACCATTTCCATGTCATTCTTACTGGCTAATGTGCATAACTTAACATTTTGGACTATATTTCTACGTTCGCAGCAACATAGTTTAATGATTAGTCATAAATAATGATGTTTTAATTTTAGAAAATGTCATTTTAATGAGATGGTTTTTTGTGCTATTGAACCTCAAATCTCTTAGCGTTATTCCCATCACATTGTCATTAGAAGTGAGCTGTAATAATGGTGAGGGACGAACGTCAATTCAAAACCTCAGAAGAATCTCCACCGATGATCTGTGAACGACATCTTGACGTTCACACAAACCTCCACCTCCTAAATGCTCTTCAATCCTTAAAGAAGTGACTTTACTCTGAGTTAGAGCGGTGGTGTGTCAGTTCAGGTTCCATCAGGTTCCAAACTGCTGTGTTTTCATGACTGAGGCTGTGAGTGGCACAGAGTTACAGCCGCTCTGATTCTAAAGCTCATGTTTTAGTCATCGTCAGGATGTCCTGACCCGGCTCTTCACTGTGGGACACAGAGGAATTGTTGAACTTTAAACATTCATGATAATGAATGAGTGAATCGCAGGTGAAACTTGGGTGCTAGCAAAAATTTGTTTGATTTTCTTTATCCTAACCTGAAACAGTGGATTGTAAAACTTTATAAAGAACACCACCGGAGGTGCTGTTCTAACGGAGGATGTCTGTGAGCCTGTGGCCTGAACTGGTCCTGTTTTGTTTTTTTCTGTTTTCACATAAAAAAAACTCTGAAATGTCCCTTAACTACGTGATGGATTCTCTGACCTGTCCTTCCTTCTGTCTCCGCAGGAATCACCACAGTTCTGACCATGACCACACTGAGCACCGTAGCCCGTAATTCTCTGCCCAGAGTTTCCTACATCACAGCCATGGATCTGTTTGTCACCGTCTGCTTCCTGTTTGTCTTCGCCGCCATGATCGAGTACGCCATGCTCAACTACTACTCCTACAGTATACGCAGACCGACGGCCAAGCCTCAGAGGATGGTAAGACTGGACATAAACACAGGGGCCAGAGTTTAGATACATCTGCACTTTCATTTACTTTTTAGATACTGACTTAGCCTTTTAGCCTGACTTTTAGCCTATTTGTTGGGGGGGAGGGGCTTAGCAAAAATGTTTTGGGAAAGTTTGTGTCTCACAATTAGCTCAAGCCGTTTGCTGAATAATTCTGTGCTATTTTGTAAGGTATTTCTGTAATAACCTGGTCTATTAATTAGCTATATTTACATGTGATATCTAATTTCTTACAGGTTGACAATTAACTATTCAAATTAAAACATTTCTTTGGTTTAGGAATAACTTTTTCTTCCTTTTACAGTATAATACATTTCTTTCTCAGAACAAAATATGAGAAAATCGTGCAGTATAATGAGGGAGATAGGGTTCTCTCTCTCTCTCTCTATATATATATATATATATATATATGTATATATATATACATATATATATATATATATATATAGTATGTAGCGAAGAGTCGGCTGCATCACATGCACCTGTGAAAACTCGATGTGCTGTGAGAAAAGCAGACTTTTATTCCCTCCTCTGTTCACTTTAAGAGCCTAATGCTCAGTGTAGGCTGCACCTGCTGCGACTGTGTCGACCAACAATGAGTCAGCCTCCACTTCACTCTGTCACTTCACTATCTCCACATCTGCACACATTCACTGCTGCTGAAGATACAGGAGATGCGCTCAGTGTCTACGACCAGCAGGGGAATCACAGTCCTATAGTTTTAAACCACTTTTCAACCATGTTCCAGCGGCAGAATGATTCAGATTGTTAATTTCTGTTCTGTGTCTGTTTTTTAAAAAAAAGTGTTTTTCAGCCGCACCTGTGCTGTACTTTTATCTTCAGCTTACTTTTAGCTTTCCCTTGGCTGTTTGTAAGCTGTACTTGACTAATCCTTTGGATAACTCATACTGGAGCTACTCTTTAAACTAACCATTAGCCGTTTCTTTCCCTTGGTTTATATACTGTATAGTATAATGTACCTATTTTTTTAATTTAAGTTTTAGCACCTAATTTTGATAAATATTTTGTGAACTGACTCTATGCTTACTGATAATTTCTGCTAGCTAAATGCTTAGCTTACAGATACAACTCAAATTCACTTAAGGTATAGATTCTGCTAACACGTAGCTGATCCTCTAACATGGAACACTGTGATAATTACTGCTTCATTTTGGCCGATGTTTAGCTTTTTCATAAGCATTTCTTTGGTCGTCTTTTTCCAGATTTCAGGTTCAGCTTTTATTTGTTAACTAGTTCCTTCATAATGGTAACATTTAGTCAAACCACACCTGAACACACTTTTGTGGTTAAAATTCAGATGCAACTAGATTTATTATTTTTCATTTTTGGAACTAGCTAGTTGAAGTGTGGGTGTTTGTGTCTGACATGAATGAGAACATTAACATTTACTATTAGGTATAAAAAGACACAGGTGTTGTGGACGCCCAGCTGGTCGCGGTCAGTTCTCCTTCATTTCAGATCCTGCTCTTGGTTTTAACAACAGACATTGAGCCGACTGACAAATGAACTGATTTCAAAGTTAAATCTCTTTCTCCTCCTCTTCTTGTCTGCCTACCTGCAGAATGTGAGCTCCCACTGTCTGTGGGGACTCCTCAGCTCATCCCTCCATCTTTTCTGCCTCCTACCTACATCCCCTCATCTAACTCTGTTTCCTCCCACTCTTTCTTTAAGAGAACAGAAAAAATCTGAGAGAATAAAATAAAGATATCTCTATTTTTTTTTTTGGTTTGGATTGTTTTCTTTTTTTTTTACATAATTTTCATCTCTAACCGGAAGAGAAAAGAAAAAGCATCTAATCAATTTTCATCAGAGAAATTACTTAGAAATCAGACTGCAGCTGAACCAAAGATGAGAAAAACACGGCTGCTGACGTGTGAGTCAATGTTTCACTTATTCCTATTAGTTTTTATTAAATCAATTTTTCAGCCTCTTCTATAGTCGCCTTGTTTGTAAGAACAATCAACGGGACACGACAGACTCGACTTCTTCACACTTCCAATTAGAGGTTTTTGCAACACATTTGTCTTAATCCTAATTTCAGTGATTTTTTTTCTTCTTCTCTCTCCAAACAGACCTACACATCCTTCAGCAGAGGGCGTCACCCCCGTGCCAGGACCATGATGCCCATGGGGAACTCTTTGTTCTGGCACGACTACGACGACAACTGTGTTTATGAGTGTCTGGACGGGAAGGACTGCAAAAGCTTCTTCTGCTGCTACGAGGAGTGTAAAGAAGGTGGCTGGAAGAAAGGACGCATCCACGTCAACATCCAGGAGCTGGATTCTTACTCTCGGGTTTTCTTCCCTACGTCCTTTTTACTCTTCAACATTGTCTACTGGGTCAGTTACCTCTACCTCTAATCCCAACCGAAGCCGCACATCCTGGAGCTTCATCTGTGGAGGGTGGACATGAGTGTGGAGGTCACTCCACAGTCAGGTCTACTCTCTGAAGGGCAGTCTATAAGGACTGCTGCCTAGGGAGTGCTTTGGTGTTGAGTGAAGACTAAAGGTTCTGATCCTTGAGAACCTGAGAGGACTTTTCCTGTTTTTAAACCGAACTGCAGACAGCTTTGATTTCACTGGGAAACGTCTGTATCGCTAAAAGCCTCAGCAGCAGAGGAGGAGGATGAGAAGGGGGCTGTGAAGCACCCACAGTGCCTTCTTTAAAAAAAAGGGTGCGGACACTACGTAAGGCCTAAGCTCCATTATTTTTATTACCTCATCCATCACAGCTGCCACACGCTGGGCTGTTTGTTCTGTGGGAAAACAAAGACAGAACGTGCTTCACACCGCTGGAGATGCTGAGAAGAAACAAACACCCACTTTTCCTTCTGTAGCACATTAGCCTCACGTCTACTCTTTTACTCCTACTTCTCACTAACTTCTACTTTTTCTCTCCATTACTTGAGGGCTGTCACTTTTCCAAGCATACAACTCTAATGATTTTTTGGGTATTTCATTTAGTTTGTTCCATTCTCCAAAATTACCTGGTTTCTGATACACAACGGTCTATTTTGTGAGATGGTGAACTAAGAAACAACATAGTGTCACTGTCTTCTTTAAATGGTGGATCGATCGAGCAAAGCAAGGTATCAAGCCTTTGGAAAACAGACCTACCCCAAACCCTAGAGCCCTTATTTATCAACCTATCTGCTAACTTGAACTTATCTTGTAGTTTATCTATTTTTTGGCAAACACATTTTTAAAATATTAAAAAATGTTCCTAATTCCCAAAATCTTTTTTGATTGGTGACTTGTCAGCCACCTGAGGATCAACATAGTGTCACTGTCTCTGTTTCTATCTAAGGGTGTGTTCAAAGCCAATGGTTTTCAGTCTTAACTTAAATAATCCCAGGAACTCATTGTTGTCCTTTGACATTCTTGAACTACCGACCATGTTTCCTCACATGAGTTTCTAACTGGTCATTATTTTTCCCACATTGTTTGGACTCAAAGTGACAGCCCTCCAGTGTTTTTCGGGGTTATTTGTACTTATAATGTGTTTATACACAGGTGGTTAGTTATTAAATATCAGTTTGTGTGGGGACAGTGGTCGTCTGGTAACAATCTTGTGAAGATTCATATCAAAGTAAACGCCAAGAATTTTTGTCTTTTGTTTTTAGTCACCGTTGAGTCTTATCTTGTAAAACTACAGCTCTCTTATATTAACACCCCAAATCCTTCGCACTTATCTCTAAACAACACACAGACTAGAATTAGGAGAAACTCTAGTGAAAGCAAAGTGGTCCTTCAGAGATGCTCCGACCGTCTTTGTCTCTTTGCTTTTCTTATGTATTGCTATTGATTTACTGTGGACTGTGGCTCATCAGCTGGGGTAGGGAAAACGGCTGACATTTTGGGAAACAATAATCTCTGAAAAAGCAGAGTCTTAATTTAATCTGGGTGACAGTGCAGCTTTAATGAGAGCAGACGAACACACACACACATACACACACACACACACACACACAGTCGGAAACAGGCCCTAATTAGGCCTGAAAAAAACAGTGTCAGTGTCAGAAAAAGACACAAAGTGCTGACAACAACAGTTTCTCTGTTGTTGCTATTAATGAGTCACACTGTTTACAAACAAACACTCGAACAACAGTAAACACGGCTGTGTTACCGACAGAAAACTCTGAAAAAAGAAAATAAGGTCATGTACAGAGTAAAAAGTAACAGTAACCGATGTTCCAAAATGTTTCTGGTCTGTTCCTGGTTCATGGTTCCTGGTTCATGGTTCATGGTTCCTGGTTCATGGTTCATGGTCCATGGTTCATGATTCATGGTTCATGGTTCCTGGTTCATGGTTCATGGTTCCTGGTTCATGGTTCCTGGTTCATGGTTCCTGGTTCATGGTTCATGGTTCAGTTCTTCTTCTGATCAATAACCCACATCATTCCTGATGCAAGTGTAAAGATAAAGAGTATCAAGTACCATTACAATATGCATCACACACTGTAATGTAAATGCACACAGGGTCTGGTACTGGGTTTCTTCCAGTGCCTCCACTTCTTGGTACTAGTTTTTTTTTTCTGGCTCACAACATTTGGCTAAGACAATTAGCCACCTGAACTACCTCGCTGCCAAGTTGTTCAGGTGGCTAATGGTCAGCTGTAGTTTTGGTCAGCATTCCATTTGCTAATTGATTTGATTTACCTGTTTAACTAATAGGCTTTCAGATTTCAAAACTAATCTGCACTTCTGACTCTGTTGTTTTCATTTGTCCAAATAATTCTACCTATTAGCTTTGATCTATTTTCTGTATAACAGTTAGCAGTTACAAGCTCATTTGAAATGTCACATGTCCAAACGCACATCGTGGGGTTGTGTGAGCTACAGAAGCCTGGAAGCTGAACAGGTAACATTCAGGTTTGAACACATTTGTTTGTATCCTGTTTGTAGAAAGACATGGACATTTCCAGGCCTTTTCAAGACGCTTTGACTCTGAGATCTGCCGATTTCTGACCCTTGCTCTAACATCGACGAACCACAGTGTAGGCATGAAGAGAAAATGTCTTCAGCTCTGAGTTCCCCCACTGAGAAACACCTTTAACACCACAGATTCCATTGATGCAGCGCTGACCGAGCGTCTGAAAGGAGAGCACGGCTCCTCTAACCTCTATACAAATTCTCCCTATAAAGAAACACTGAGTTTCCACGGCCTGAGCTTATGATGCACCGTGATGACTCACAGGAGCTTCAACATCAACAACACACTGATTACAGACTAATGAGTGTTGACTTCAGACGCTAGCTGCCTTGTTTTGGTTTTGAGATGAGTCTTACTGACAACACAGAGGGACAGGATGTGGTATTTATGAGTTTCTCTGACAACAGTTATTATTTTAATTTCTTTTACCTCCGAGCACTTTATTAGCTGCTGTATGAGCCCAGTGGTGGTAACTGTTTACAGCTTCTTAAGTTCCCAGTTATCAAACACATAACCTGGATCTGGCCTTGGTCTAAATCATCAGAAGTCTTTGCATCGTATTGATTTTACTGATGGACCGAAATTTATAAAAGTACACAAAGAAGATCTGCAATTTTAGATCACAACACACCTGTTTGGTCCACTGCTGCCTCCATCACCAAGTTCAAATTTACATTTTTTGAAATCCTTCGTCAGTGACAGATACTGACCACAGGAGGCAGTAGTGGACCAGCAGCTTCTGCGGTTCCTGTGGGCTGAAATCACTCATTTCCACTATGAATTTTGGTACAGGAAGTGACTGTTTTATCAACCAGCGTGATCCTGAGGTCCCTGGTTAAAGTGTCTCAGTAAAGGAGGCTGAGGGTTAACTTTTCTGTCCTCGACTGTATCAGCTCACACAGAAAAAGAACGCTTCCCATAATGTTGAGGTTTTTTTTCTCTATAAACAATGACCACAGATAAATGACCAGTGTTTCAGCCGCAGAGGCAGAAACTGGGTTGACATCCAACCATTGTTTTGTCATTGAGAATGCTCTGCACAAATGCATGTGTGTGTGTTTTTTCCATTTTCTTTTTTCAGTAGAAGCTGCACAAACACGAGTGTTTGGCCCACAGCCACGTCAAACCCCGAGGCACACAAACACAGACACACAAACACAGACCCACAGATACTGTACATGGCCTATTTACTTTTCATTTCAACGCTGCTTTAAAATCAATGACAGCTTCTGGGTTTCTTTTTTATCCTCTAATGAAAACTCAAAATCAAAGGTGATCATGCAGTAGGTGCTGTGATGATGCCGGCTGCTAATGGACTGCTATAGAAAACCATGTCAAATTGCTGCCATACAAAAAGGTTGAAGAAGAAAGACTCAGATTGTAAACAATTTCAACAACAACTCCTGGTGAGTTGGAATTCTTCTGGATCCAAAGCCAAATCATCTGTTTCATTACAGTCATTTGATTCAAATTTATTTTGTATACTGTATTTCATTTTTATTAAAAAAAACGTTCAGAAACGGCAATTAATTCTAATTAGAAATAGATAAATTTAACCATTTTATAAAACAGCTCAACAAAAATAACACTTTCAAGTTTTAAAAAACTAAATTTATGCTTAGATGCAAACGAATATATTTAAACATAGCAATGATTATTTTTACTTTTAATATTTGGAATTTAAATAGCTGAGAGTTGGACTGAAGTTTTAATTTTTCAATTTCTACAGTGCACTTAAAATAATACACATATATATCCATTTTCTAAATTACAAAAGGAACCACCAATAACTTTCAGTCCTCTTTATTACCTTATATATTTCTGTGGACATAGATTTTAGAAAATATAAAGTATTTTTACAAATAAAATAATTAAATCTATATTCTTTGACTCAAATATTCGCAGTAGTAAAACTCTATATTAACAGGAGACTTAACCGACTTTAAACATTTTAAATGCACATAGAATTTTAAATTAAATGAACTAAAACTATAAAATTATCTTAGCAGTTCAAATTAATTCAACAACCACTTTCATAAACTCTAAAGGGCAAAAAGAAAGAAGGTGAAGTTATTATTTCTATGTTTAATTAAACTTGTTTTGGTAACACAATCAACCTTCCTCCTCCTCCTCCTCTACTCCTCCTCCTCGCTCTACTACACTGTTTGTATGTTTAGAGAAAAACTTTTATGTAAGATGTACCTAATTAATGTTTCTATTTTCATACACTTATATACATATATCTTAAGTCTTTATGTACGGTATTAATAGAATGTATGTTAGGGGGCAGTAGTGAGTCTGGAGTGGACTTTGCTTCAGTTCAGTCAGCTTAACAATACCTTTTCACCTTATGGTTAGCTTTCCTTTCCTTCTCTTAAATATATATATTATTTTAATATTACGCCAAATTCATCAGTTGTATTTAATTAGCTTTTGTAAAATACAGGAAACATTGCAATATTTGAATTTATTTTGCATAAATGCATATCTTGGATTCCTGTTTAGTCAGATTTGTACTGTACACAAATCAAATAAAGGGAGATTTAGACACTAATCTGTTTTCATATCAAATAAGTTTGCTTTAAAGTCAAATCCTTTTACAGTTACTCTGGACTGGTTTGACCTTTGTTGTACAGGTCACCATAGCTGGGTGGGGAATTCCCCCCTGTGGGAGATGTTATCCTTCTTGTCTTTGCCGATTCATACAGAAATGGATGAAGTTCAATTATGTCCTTTTTTTCGAGACTTATTATTATTATTATTATTATTATTACTGTTATCTAGGAGCTGACTGAACTGAGCAGAGAAAAGCTCCGCCCACACCGCCGTTAACTCTTTTCATTCACGTTCAAGTTTTCTAACCACACTTTTCAAGTGTCTTCATCATCTTTATCAAGCAACACAATCGTCTGTAGAATTCTCACCGACTGAGTTTTCTTTGGGAGTCAGAGAGCTGATCGCAGAACAGAAGCAGGTCATTGAAATCCCGACCTCACACTGATAGTTTGGTTTGACAGTGAGGTCAATCTGATCCTGGATCAGCTCCCTGAGAAGAGTATTTTATGACAGTGAAAATCTGAGTGTCTTTTTTCTAGTGCGTGGTTTGTTGCTTATATGAATAAACTATGTTTTTGTCAAATGTGCTTCTGTCGGCTGTGTTTTTGTGGGAACTGTTGTACATGAATGTGTATCACTTAACTCTACAATGGTAATGACAACAATATTATGAATTATTAGGTACGTTAGGAAGAAACTGCATCCTCTAGAAATAGTTTTTAAAGCAAATTTAACTAATTTACAAATTTCAGCAACATGTTAAATTAACATAAGGCAGAAAGTTCCATTATTGTAAACCTAATTTATTACAAATAATTGTCATGTAACTAGAAAAACACATTTTATAATTATTGTCATATTAGTACAGTTTAATTCTGTATAATATTCAAATGTGAAATTCAAAGTTGTTCTAAAGACAGACTGAAGTAGTGCTGAAGGAGACAAAGAAGTCCAACGCAGGACTCTCACTAACAGTCTCTGATGAAGAGGCCGTGAAGTTCGTATTTGTCATTTCAGATCAATGATTTGATGAAAAAGAAATCCTAATAATTAACCGTGGGATGAGTTTGTTCCTCCAGGTATCGAACTGTTGTTGATGTGAAGGCTGTGACAGATTCTGACACTGACACATTCTGCAGCTGTGTGTGTGTGTGTGAGTGTGTGTGAGAGAGAGAGAGACTGTGAGACTGGCGGTTACACTGATGTACAACTACAACCCTGTCAAAGTGACAGAGCAGTGTGTTCACTGCCAAATGTTGTGTGGGAATTCTTCTCACTTCAGGGAAAACTCCTGTAGTTTTGTGACATTTCTGTTTTCAGCTCAAGTGTCAAAATCACTCCGACAACAGAGAGAATTAAAGTGGAGCTGTGGACGTCCATGTGACCCGCTAGTGTCACAGGAAGTGGAAATAAGGTGAGAAAAGACACTGATTTAATCATTAAAAAACGCAATACATAATAAACTCAAATACTGAACATTAGCCACTCCAGTTGATTCATATTTACAAGTATAAAACGGTGGCACTTTGGCCCAGAGGCAACGTCTCTGTCATTGGTGTTGAACCCCAGGGTTCACCTCCTGGGCAAGTTTGAATCCCAGTCAGGGTGGTTGGTACCTTCCAGTGGACTCACCACCTGCAGGAAGGTTCAGGGGGGTTGATACGGTGCAGTGGGATTTGGGTGGCGGTCGTGGAGACTGCTGCCCCACGACCCGGTAACAGATAAGTGGATGAAGATGGTTGGTTGATGGATGGA